CCGCTTTTTTGATAACAACATTGTTATTGTTTCTCAGAGAATTAAGTGCTTCTCTTTCTAGTTTAGAGGTATTGTTGTGTATTTTCCTGATTGGAATAGATGATAATTCTAATTTCGTTTTGTCAATGTATTGTTCTAGAGTATTACAAGCTAGTGGGGGTTTGTGACCCGTTGCTTTTATGAAAGGATGTATAGGGGAGTTTTCTCCCTTATCATAGTGATACTTGCATCTGAGTTTTCTGGCAAACTCGTCAAAGTCATTTAAAATAACTTTTTTGATACTTCTTTTTTGTGGAGTTGGTATGAATTTTAAGCCTTTGGAAAGTGCAGAGTATTCGTGACGATTGATTTTGTACTTGGATAAATTAAGTTCATATTTCTGCGAGCGACTCTCATATGTTTTGTCAACATTTTTCATCTGCAGTAAAAGGGTTCGAGATCTCTTGTGATTTTTTCATTTTTTTCGTCTATTAAAACGTCAAGCCATTTTAATAGTGAAGAATTCAATGTTAAGAACTTTGTGGAGAGTGCAAGTATAAAAATCCCGTCTATTAAACGACTGATCGTTGTAATAGAGGAAACAAATATGTTGCGACAGGTTGTCCTTGGACGATTTAACTGAAGCTAGGAATATCACGTGGTTCTAGATACGCCTCATTCTTATGGTGAGGCTAATGAATATTGATGCCTTATTTTTGAAAGGCATACAGATAATGAATAAAAACAATGGTATGCAAGTATAATATTATATTCTAGTTTTAAATTGACAATACAAGTAATATTGATTATCACTTTAACTTAAGTGTCAATAGTGAAAAAACAGAGTTTTTAGCGCTTAGTACCTTTAGAGTGAATTTAAGTTCCAATCACTTTAAATTGTAAGCGTTATTGTCACAAATGAATCAATACAGGGTAGACTGATTCAGATGATTAAGACTGTCACATTGTCTTAACACTATTAGTGTTCATACGGTTTCCTCCTGAATTGTCTGCGTCCTGTAGGTCGGCTGCGAAGCGGTCTCCCGCGTCCCAGCTGGGACTGGTCCCGCGCATTTTGGCTAGTTTGAGTGACGGTAGCCAGTCTATTTGTGAAATCTTGGATTTCAGTAATCTGTTTCTGATGAATTCTGATTATTTGTTCATCAAACTTTTGTTTTTCACTTTCAAAGTCATAAGAATTGCGTCTTATTTCTTGCAGTGCTTCATTCCTCACGGAATTGCTGTCCAATTCCTTTGATTTTATTTCCGATTCGATGTAGTCCAAAACAGTCTGGGCCATTTGTTTGGTCTGGGTTCTTATGCCAGAATGTCTCAAATTTGTCATTGTAGTCTTTGGCGAGGAGCTTCAGGGTACAAACGAACCTGATGTGGAACCAAGTCGGGAATTTCCCTGTTTGGATGCCATATCTGAGACTTTCTCTTCTTTTGGCCAGGACCAATCTCTGCTCTAAAATGGCTTTAATTTGTGCAACTCCTTCTGAGGATCTGGTGATGCCGCTATCATTGCTCTCTGGTAGGGCGATTGTTAGATCCAGGTCTTGGAAACTTGTCAATGCTTCCTGGTTTGATGGAATTGCGTCTGCAAACTCAATGTCAGAGTTTTGATGCATTTTCTTTGTGTCTTTTCGTAGTGAGAGTTTGTTGAATCGTTGAAACATATTAAAGTAATGAAGGCGGGAAGTTGATGCAATGCCTTATACTTTGTTTGAGGAGAAATAGATTTATTGTTGGCGATGGCAGTAATTCTGAAGCAGTCTTTGAAGTGAAATTGTTTCAGAAACAAGAGCGGATGTGACAATTTTTAGGTAGATGCTATTTTAATTGAAGTTCTGTGAGAAAGCGGATCTGAGAAACTTCCGGTGGTCTGAGGGAAGAGACCCCAATAAATCGTAACAGGCCGATCGCTGTCCAAGGGAGGCGATACACGGGATGATGTCAGTGGAACATTGTCCCTAGTAACATGATTTTGAAAAAAGACATCAATCAACCAAGCCTGTCATAAATTTAGCAGGGCTCGACACTCTAGACCACGTATGATTTTTTTTCAATAAAGTGTTATTATGGAGGCATTGAGTCTTTCGGCGGTTTTTAAAGAGAAATATGATTTTTTGCTCTTAAGGCCCGCCATCATTGACATTGACTTTTGTGGAGGCAAATATATGCAATATACCGCATTTAGTACTTTAACATCAACATAACTGAGCATCAGATGTTCATTTCCGCTGCCCAAGCTGTGAGAAAATTATTAAAAATAAAAGAAAATTATAGATTACATGAGGTTAAATTATAAATGTTCTGACACGAAGAGAGATGACAGTGATCCGAGTGTAGAAGCTGATGTTGCACAAGACCCCAAAATGGTCATTCTGAAAATTCTTTCACTAGACCAGCTAAACAACCACATGCTAAAACATCCATTACAGCAAAAGCCTTGTCGGCTTTGCAAAATGTTTTGCCAAACACGTTGGTTGAAATAAAGACATAAACATAAAGATCCACGGAAAAGAAGCATTTTGTCCTCTTTTGTTAACCTCCCACCCCCGCTGTGGATTATAAGCTTATGTCAATGCACTCGGTGTGAAGTCCATCGAAAACACTGAAGTACAGACATATGCCTTGTTCTTTTTCGTTACAGACAGCACCCTCTACTATTATGCAAATGACAATATCCTATCGCAAAAACTCACAAAACTTTACAAAATGTTAGAAACCCTTTCCAGGAATACAATCAATCTCTTATTAAATGGTTCTCAAATAAGTACATATGTAAAAGAAGGCAAGTCCTAATAGGAAATTCGTAATTAATAAGTGGCCAGGTCATAAGGCACTTCGTGGAAACCTTCCAAATATGTTCAGGAAACATTTTCCTAATGCATCATTGACTGCACAGAAGTACTTATTGATAGACCAACACGATCACTAACAAGGGTCCAGACTTGGTTAAGGTGGCTCATTACATCCACAGTTTATTTTAGATTTCATTACAGCAACACTTATTATGTAGATGTCAAATATCCAGAATGAGGTATTGATATCATAAATATTTTCTAGAGAATTTTTTAGCCTTTGTCTAATTTTAGTGAAATGTTTTATTTCAAGTTTATTGTTACCAGAATTTCAGAACTTTCTGCGTCAAATGATGGGCATCTTCTTAAGACAAGTACAAACAGTGAAAATATCTCATAATACCTAATATTAATTTTATTACAAAAATAATTTTCTCCTAAAAAACAATTAATATCATTATTTGTTTACTCTGTGCACAAAACATTAAGAAAATGAGTTCTGGAGAGACAAGGAATGTATTTCAATGAATTACATGTGACAAATTGAATGAAAAATGTTTAAACGAAATGAAAATGCCAATTTAAAAAATATTTGGTATAAAAAGTCCATTTTCAAGAGTTATCTTTCCTAATAAGCCAAGACTCAAAACACTAAGGAACGTTTGAACATTATGTATCTAAAATTCAGAAAAAAGCTTTAAATTGCCAAAGTATATATTTAAATCAATAAAGCAAATATATTAATTAACACCAACACAGTAAATAGTGCAAGTAAATAACTTTTTTAATTTTTGTGTAGTACGTCATCAAAAAGTGGTGTAATGAGCCTTCTTAAACAACAAGAAATAAAATACGCCCGGGGTTCTTGTTGCTGTTACACAGACAAATCAGACGAAATACCTGTACATTATCTCTCTGAAAGAGATATTGTAGGTCGAAAAGAGATATCACCTAGTTCTTTTTTTTTTATTTGGTAATGATAGATTATTCCTGGTTTAATTTCTTTTTCAAGCCCTATTCGCTAATAAAATGTCAATTTATAAATCAGTATGAATAAATTAAGAACGACATGTCATTTTGCTCTTCAATATATTTAGAGAAGTCGTGCAATGATTATTCTTTTTTACATGGGTGTAAGGCATAGTGGTGTAGTTTAACCTTCTCGCAGCACTGCTAGGTTATTCATGAAGAAATTAAAGGGAAGCTAAGCTAACTGAAATTATTTGTTCAAGGAGTTTCATTTTCACAGTAGTGTATGTTCAGTTCAGTCATGGAGTTCCCTCCTTTATATAGGGAGCATCCGAGAAGGTGGTTTCATAAAAGGTATCCTCGAGGAACCTATTTCGGTTGTATTAGCAAACTACGTAATAAAATAATCTTGACGGGAAAGATTAAAGTTAAACAAATATGATTTACCTCCAGAGGACTCTTTCTTTAATCAAATTATATCCATATTATCTAATAAAAATATCTATAAGTTGTTTTGAAATCAAATTAGACCCATATTATCTAATAAAAAAATCTATAAGTTGTTTTGAAATGTTCGACCCATGTACATAGTTGTTCACATATCCCATAAGCTCTCATCTTTGTCAGAAGTATAACATGTGGAACCTTATCAAATGCTTTCATGAAATCCATATAAACTGCATTTAAAACGCCTCTATCCAGGATTTCAGTCCATTTATCAAGCAATATCCTTATGGGCTTTTAGAGACAATAGCTCAGACAAGCGTGCTTTTGACGGAAAGGATGGCACATAGATTGATATGAAATCGAACTGTCAATCACAAAGGAGATTGGGATTCAAATCATCCAAATGATCAAGACATAGAACACTGCAACAAGGTTTTTAAGTTTGAAGCACATAGTTTCAGGGGTACTTTTACAGAGAAAACAGTGCCCAGAGTGACCGAAGTGCATTACAATCTGTTGTACTATGCTTTGATACAAACTGTCATGTGAAAAAAAACAACATCTAAACACACAGCAGCAGATTTCACTGAGGATATTTTGAAATTAGTTGAACAGTATCAAAAACTTGACCTTTTTTCCATAATACCTGGAAGACAACATGATCCTTCATTCCGAAAGTCAAAAAATTCAATTCCCTTTTCCAACTAGATATGGATGACGTTCGCAACTGGATTTCAGGTTCGCTTTCGGATTATAACCGAAAACATTTTTATGGATAAAATGCAGTTATAATGGCCATCAGTCTTCATCAGATGAGTAGTTTAGAACTGGTTTTGTAGACAGATATCTAATGAATTCACTGTCATCGGATAATCCTTCATCGGATGTCTGACTATCGTCCGAGTCCTCTTCATTCGTCAAAACAATTCGTTCAAATATTTTAGATTTAACACCATTAAATGGTTCCTCACATGAACATTCATCTGAGCATTTGCATGAACATGAACAGATTTTCCTGCAGTTATCACTGCAGTTATGCATTGGAGATATTGGTTCTGGTTTATTTTCAAACAGTTTTAATAAACACTGTCTTCGACACATATTGGACTTTGTGTATTCCTTCATTTGAGAAGTTATATTACGACTACCCAAGGATCTTTTATATAACAGGAGTATTGCATGACTTTGAATCAGTGGATCTCTACCAGCACGCCCAGTCTCCTGAAGGTAGTCATCAATATCATTGGCAGGACCATAATGAACAACTGTATCAACTGCCTTAACATCAAGGCCCATGCTAAAGGATGTTGAACAAAGAACTACCCGAATATTACTAGTCGGATCCTGATATGATGAACAGATAGATTTTTATCTTCCTTATAATTGACATATGATGCCCTGCCTAGTGATTCTTCCAGGTGCTCATAAACTTCTGATATATGCTTAATTTGCCTAAAGAATATGTTAATTCTTGTTGTGTTTTCTTTGTTTGCTTTGAGCTCTTCAACAAGCCATTTAAATTTTTTCCTAATGCTACTGTGCTGTAACTTGATGCACCAATATGTAATATTCAGCTTGTTTGGACTGACAATTATTTCTTCAACCTTTTTCATTGATAAGCTTTTGTAGATGTATTCCTTTGTTTCAATGGTAGCTGCTGATGTTAATGCTATCACTGGAACATTTTCTCCTGTGAGAGATCTTATTTCTCCTAGTTTTCCATAAAATGGACGATATGCTGGTTTTTTCTTTTTATCTTCACCGCTGCATGAAAAAAAAGATATTGTATTATTTCACTAATAGAACTTATATACGTGTGTGAGATGTGTTTGTGATTAGTGAGATTAATTAAGGATTAGTGAGATTAATTATTTACTCTGTATAACTACATAAAAAATATGATTAGAGGATAATAATTTACAATTTTTAATCCTCTTTTCTACAATCATTTAGAAGTACATGTATTTATATACAGAATCTGTACTTACAATTTCTTAATGCAATGAGCTTCATCCACAAAAATAGCTTTGATAAAGTTTCTTTTTGCCAAATCCTCTGTAATTTTTCTTTGTGTTCCCAATATTGATTCTGGACTAGCAAAGATAATTGTAGGATCAGCAAACTCTCCACCTAATTTACTCAGGTGATGTGCACTAAGTCCTTTCTTTTGCAATGCATCTACCTGACTTCTTATAAGAGAGGTCAGAGGGGAAATGACCAACACAATTGTTTTATCATGAGCTGAACTTGATGCTTGGAACAAAAACGGTGCCAGCTCAAATGTTAAGGATTTACCACTTCAAGTAGGTGAACAGAAGACTTTAAATATGCTTCTATAACTTTTTTCTGGTTTGGTTTTAATTCACTTATAGACAATTGCTTTAATCCATCAGATATTGCTTGAGATATTTTTTCTGTGTTCATTTTACTTAGAGAAGGTTTACAAAAATGTGTGTAAAATTTGTGCATCTTTATAACATTTAGGAAATCCCCCATAACCATTCATCATCTGTCAATCTGTCAACTTATCAGCAAATCTCCAGCAGCACACTGCAGTCACAGGGGCATCTTATCCACTCTGTTCTCTACTTCACATATTAAAATACACAAAGGAAGAATCGAAAGTAGCACACGATATTTAAAAAAAGTCAAAAAACAACTTACGTGAGAAAAGTTACACAAATCCTGAAAGGAACTAGCGCAAATAATGTCCTAGTACTTATCCAGGCTAAAATATTCCAGATATTTCCATCGAAAATAGCTTTTATCCAACTAAAACCCCAGCTTTCTGCACAGTGTGAAACTCATCGCCCAAGAAAAGATAACTCACCCGGATGACAATAACGTAGTACCCGAGGCCTTCCGAGTGCCATTATAATCATTCAATTATCAAAAAGTATGAAAGAGAGCACTAAAAAGAAAAAAAACAGAGAGACTTGAGCAAGTCTAAGCAACAGATAGCAATAGAATATAAAGACTGTAATGAAGACTAACATCGCTCAAGTCAGTTAAAGGACGAGTTAACTTTAAACAAAATGTATGCAGTTTATTAGAACGTACTTGCTTCATTCGTATTGTTTCTTAGACATAATTGTGTCCCTATGCGAGACGAGGAGAAGGATATGACAGGACCATATCACAATATGTGGTTTGTTAAGCTGCAGACATCTTCAGCAAAGGGCAGTTTTGCAGGTTTGTTAAACTGCCATTCATTACTTAATGTCCTAGCAAGCTTTTTTACTTTTGTTCCCCACTCCACTTCTACTAATTTTATGAATCGGTAGTGGATTTGTTGTCACTGTGCAATCCTTTTTTGATGCAACATTACAAATTTATAGCTTAACCTGGAAATATCAAACCCAAGTTTGATAGCAGTGCTTGGATGGACTAAATCCCCATTTTCTTCCTCACAAGCTTTCAAGGCGAACGCTGCCACTAGGTCAAAGTGACCTGGTGTTAAAAAGTCCCATAGAGACGTTTCACACTGACTTTCTTTTCTAAGAAGATGAAGAAGGCGAGCAGCGAGCCTCATTCTGAAACTACAATAGTATTTTCGTTTGCGTTTATTGTCAACACACTTCATGAGCCAAACATCTCCAAGGGCTACGATTAATGGATCTGCCACTGCTGTTTTTGTGATGTTGTCTTGCCTCATAATCGGAAACGCTTCCTTCTTCAGGTTGGATGAGGCCTCTTGTGCAATTTTGCCTGTATTGTGATGATACCCTTCATACTCTTTGGGGACTCAGTTTTCTAAAATGCTGGGCAAACTTTATTATGTTTGGTTATGCAGGAAGAAAGTACAATCAACTCTTTACAATTTAGGCATGGCCCATACTCTTCAATGTTAAACTTCCCTTTCCTACGGGAAATAAGAAGCTCTCCCTCCCCAGCCTCTACCACTTTCATGTTGTGTTTATTGTCTCCTTCATTTCTGAGCAAACTTTGTTTTGTCCTAATTTCTTCCTTTATCTCAGACTGATTTTCTGGGGCATTGGACAATTCCTTTTTTAGGTCTGAAATTTCTTTTACTTTCTGTTCATAAGGATGCTTGTTTTCCAGGTGAGTCTGAATATTTGTCAAAAGTTGACAGCAAACCAAACAAGCATGTACTCGGTCATAATTTCTTCCACTTTTAGATTTGATATTTGTCTTTTTGAAGCGTTTCGCATATATCTTTCTATACTTATCATCAAAGACACATTCCTCATCTGCAATGCTTCTAGAGGAAGGCATGTCACAATCCTTATCTGCTTTTTCACTTATGTCATCTTCAACTTGATAATTATTGTCTTATTGTGTAGGTTCAATAATCTTATTTTTTCTCTGTTGCTGTCTAACTTTTCTGCAGGCGTACATACATTAGTACTGTTTTCGCATATGTCATTTTAGAGTGCTCAAGTGGAAGAATATACTATCAGAGCTTGCACTTGAATCATCCAAGTCACTGTTGCAAACAAAAGCTGGGTCATTCTCATAATCATCATCATCAGATTCCTTATTGCGAGCCTCTATCATGTTTAAAAGTTCCTTCAGACGATCATCGTTTATATCTATGAATTCTGTGACAGTACGATCCTGAAGTGTACCTGGTTGAGATTTTAAAAAAAGATGCTCTGCTTTTCTTCTTTTCCTTAACAGAACCTTTCTCCGAAATCCCTAATCTCTCTGCATGACCACCTTTAAACTTAAGGAAAAAAAAAGGAACTGGATAGATTGCTTATAAACAACATGAAGCCTACAGGCCACAATGTTCAACTGAATCACCTTGGTCCTGCATTTTTACATCTCTGAAAGATTGATTGATTGATTGTATATTGTTTAACGTCCCTCTTGAGAATTTTTCACTCATATGGAGACGTCACCGTATGCCGGTGAAGGGCTTCAAATTTAGACCTATACTCGGCACTCAGGGCCTTTGAGCAGTGAGGGTTCTTTATCGTGCCAGCGCCTACCGTGACACGGGACCTACGTTTTTAAGGTCATATCCGAAAGACCCGTGACTTTCACTTCTGATGCCGAGCGCTTGGCGAAGGAACAGTCACTACCTATTTTTACGTCTTAGGTTTGACGCGGCGCCGGGAACGAGAATCGAACCCGGACCTCCCGATCACGAAGCGAACGCTCGATCTCTGAAAGATTTTTTTCCTCTTTATCTAGAGTTTCCATGAAAACTTTTCACTCCGTAATGTGCCCTCCCACCCCCCCAGCACAAAGGGGTTAATACACACATGAGCATGCTTCATTGTCAATATGACTAACATAACCTTGCTGTTCTGGTGGTGTTTTTCTTTCCCCCCCAAAAAAAAATTGCAGCATACGTACTATATTTAAACATTAATCACTAATTTTAACCAACCATAGGGTCCATAATTGGAAAAATATAGGTAATCAAAGATTACGAAGCTCACCTCGACAAAGGCTATCTATAAGTAAGGTAAATCTCACATATTTTTTCTAATTAGTGTTCATCCCAAGATCAATATCCATTCAAGTTTGGTGTGAGAAGGTCTTACAGATACTTGAAAATAGACCTGCTCAAAAAACTTCTAACCTGTTTACTAATCAAGAAAATTTTGGACAGTTCCAACATCCAAAGCAGGTCTGGAAGTTTTCATCCTTAGATGTACCATCCAAGCTGTTTAATCATAATATTATATAGCTACTCCAAAAACATTACTCTTGTCACACATCTGGAAAATGTAGGTCAGATTCAGAATCCGAAACAAGTCTGAAAGTGTCCATCCTAAGATACATCATCCATGATAATTTGATTAAAATTCACTCATCTGGAAAATCTAGGTCAGATTCAGCATCCAAAGCAAGTATGGTAGTGTCCATCCTAGATGCATCATCCATGCAAGTTTGGTCCAGGTAGCGTTTATAGTTACTTTGGGATAGACCTGCTTCAAATATAGGTCAGATCTAGCATCCGAAGCAAGTGTGGTAGTATCCATCCTTAGATGCATCATCCATGCAAGTTTGGTTCAGGTAAGGCTTATAGTTACTTAAGAATGGACCTGCTCCAAAAACTTAAACCTGGTCCCTCATCTGGAAAATCTAGGTCAGGTCCAGCATCTGAAGCAAGTGTGGTAGTGTCCATCCCTAGATGCATCATCCATGCAAGCTTGGTTCAGGTAGGGCTTATAGTTCCTTGGGAATGGACCTGCTCTAAAAACTTTAACCTGGTCACTCATCTGGAAAATGAGGTCAGATCCAGCATCCGAAGCATGTCTTGTTGTGTACATCCCTAGATGCATCAAATTAGGCTCATTATAGTTCCTGGGTTATGGACC